GCTGAGCCTCCCCTACCTTCCAGGTGAGTGTCTTTCTGTCGTCGCTGATGGAGAAATGTCGCTTCGGAGAACCCATGCCCACATAGGGAAGTTGAAATACCACACGTCCTTCTTTACAGTCGCGTTGAATAAGTACCTCTTCCACTTGACGTCCGTATTTAGCCAGTCCGAGTGGATCCCGCTTCAGCGTAAGTGTAACGGCATTGAGAACTTCTGGTACTATGTCGATTCGATGTTGACTTGGGTTGGGACTCTCATGATACCTGTAATGTCTTGGTCCTTTCGGATGTACGGATTGAACCTCGATGTCGGGATGCTGCCAGAGCCGCCGTATCAGATCTACCAGTGGGACTGCGTGCTGAAAGACTTGATAGTAGTTTTCGGGTATTGTTTCAGAATACCCATGCCGGCTGCACCATATAGGGCACGTCTTGTCTAGGTCAATAACAACCTTTCTTACCAACGCTGCTCGAGTGTCTAGAGAGTACAACCATCGCGCGGCGCCGACCGTTTGAGATACCAATCCTATCTCGTATGATCTGTCGTTGGCATTGAGGTATCTTGAGATGATCCTGGTGTTGGCAGAGATGAGCGTTGTTGTGGCCTCGTGGTAGACTTGCCGACAAGTGGACAGAAGCGCGAATGCTTCTTTGAGTGCTCTCAGTACACGATCATCTTCGAACAAGTCTTGCCATTGAGGTTTGTGTCATCGGGAGAATCCTGAACATTGAACGCCACGACGAGTACGGAACTTTATTGGATCAATTGTACCTACAGTACTTCATATGGCATGATTGCGGTCTGTTTAGCATCAGCTACAGCCGTACAATGCTCGTAAAGCCGCGATGCTGCACCCCTTCAAAATATATCCTAGGTATCCTGCACCGGAATTTGAGACCAGCCCGGGATTGAGCCAATCTGCTTCTTGTAACAATCAGTCTTTATGGGTCACCGAGAATTACTCGAGTGCTTGGGTATGATGGAGTTTGAGCAAGCATTATTGAACCACGTGTTAAGGAAGAAAGTCACATCAGTCTTCTTGACCCATGGCAGCAATTGTGAGCGATGCGATGAGTCTTATTTATCAAAACAGGCTTTTCATCGGTTCCGCAAGCCTCCTCCCAAGATTCGAGTCCTCGAATTAGGCAGTGGGTTTCATTCGAAGCAGGGCCAATTTTCAAAGTACCTGCCCAAGAGTTGAAGATTGAGCAGAGTGTGTTGTATAACATAAGAGGCTTGACCGCGGCGGTCGCAGCATCGTGCCCAAGTGATGCTCAGATCTTGAACAAGAGTTGTCTCCTAAGTGCAGCAGTTGGGGCGCGACCCAAACTAAGTGCCGAGTTCTGATGACGCCAGCGTCTACGTCCACTCACGGGACCGTATAAATAGGCGTTTTTTGAGTACTCGAGACTTGAAACTACATGTGGACTCGACTTAGCCAAGTTCTGCCTGATTTGACGCGTGAGACCGCGTCATTTAGCTTGGGCGAGGCACCTGATGATTGTCGCATCGTACGCAAGTTCAAGGTTCGGGTCTTGGAGGGATTTTCGATAGCGTCAAATCATCGTACTCCATCCGTGTTCGCGGGAGGAAGCGAGGACACTTGCGATCTGTTTTAGGTTATGGTACGATTTCGCTGAGGCTGTGTAGATTCGGCTAGGTGTTAGCCCAGGTACTGCCGTCTCTTCTCCGGGTTGATCCAGTAGGTCAATAGTACTCCGCAGGCTTTCGTAACTGGGCCACTGGCCGGTTCTGAGGTTGCAACAATCACTCGATCCATGATTGTTAAGATGGGCATTGTTTGACCGCGAGATCAGGAGATCTCAGTCTTCTGCATGAGACCTCGGCCAAAAGATCGCTATGCTGTAACTTGCAGATTTTGGCAAGGCCTTCCTTGACCCTTTCTTTCCTGCTTTCTGTCGGCATTTTGGGTTTCCACTGGGCGTGGTAGATCGTAGGGAGAGGCATGCCACTGTTGCTTGCGAGAACCCCGCCTTTCGTTCGGAGGTGAGAACTCCAGGCAGCAACGACGACCCAGCACCTTCATGGGAATGCGATTGGTCTTTCTGAGGTTGAACAAAGTTTTAACTCGAACAAGAAAGCAGATGATTTGTGGGACCTGTCCATCCTGGCATATATCTGATGCTGCACTAAATATTGGCCAACCGGGCTTCAGCCCTACCCACCCACTCGGCTCGACCCTTCAACGTTCATGCAGAGCGCCACGTGTGTCTCTACCTCATCAGGCTAAATACTGACGCAACAGTGCCGACCACGTCTTCGAGCGCGTGCTGCATGTCGATGGATTTGTTGGTCCATTCTGTTCATTCTCAATCCAGTCTGAGCCCTGACGTAGCTGCGCCTTGTGATCAAGTACCCAGCAGAAGGGCAGTCAATGACGTTGCAAGGATCGTCAGCAAGAAACGAAACAGGAAACACGCTAGAAGCCGTAATGTTGATTTGCACCGGCCGACTGAATCAACCATGTCTGTCCTTCATCCCGCGACCAGCAAATCATCTCCAGGCACCGGTGGCATCGGCTAGGGCACGTTCTTAACGCCGTGAATGCTACTACGGAGATGCCCTCCGGCTGTGGCGGCATCGCTTTCGTCTTCGTGGTCTCGCGACAATGCTATCAGCGTCGAGGTCCTCCATGCGAGCACGACATTATACTTCTGGCGTTGAGGTGTAAAGATTTGGCGCTGTTATCACCCGCACTGCTCAAGTCTAAAAGAAGATCTGGAGGCCTCACGGAGCTATACCGGTGCACTGATTGAGCAATCAGCATCGTGAGGTTGGCCTCAGCCAAGCAGGACTCCGCCTTGAAAGGCGGAGCCCACCAATGCGCGCAGCGAGGCATTTTACGGCAGCCGATACGCCGTCAAAAGTACCTCTACGCGGTGCCGCCAAGCCAGCGCTCCTCAAGGAGATGCTAATGACCGTCCAGGGTTGTGGAGCCAACAATGAACTGACTTCACGATCATTCGTGTTTGACCCCGCTGCACGCTCGTTGGAGTCGCTTCTCGGGTGGCTGTGCCGCTTCACTATTTCTGGGAAACAAGGTGCAAGACAGGTGAGATGCGGACCTGCACGGGTGGAGATTATTTAAAGACCCTGATAATATCCCAAGGTTGGTTTGTTGTTTCGAATCACCCTGACAGCTACTGCCTTGCCTCGACACAGACCCACACCTGCCATAAAGCCTTGCGCCACTCCTTTTCTACACATACATTCGAACGACTGTTGATCAGCGAGTTCCCTTATTCTCTTCTACGCGACTCTCTAGACACTTCTCTTCACCTTTCAATATTTCCTGCGCTGCCTTGCGCTACTCTACAGGCTGCCGCTTCCGCCCGCTCTATCCGACCAAGCTGGCAACATGAAGGACTGCCCAACTTGCCATGGAAATGGCCACATCAAGTGCGAAGAATGCAATGGCAACGGCTGTAGAAGTTGCAAGCGAACAGGCACCCGAAAATGTGATGTTTGCGAGGGTGCCGGCGCCATCCATACAGACCACTAGCCTTGCGAGCGCTTTCAGGCTCCGGCAGCGAGGCTCGCAGTCCGAATCATTCCAATGGTGAATATTCAGACACTGACAGGTACGTACCTTCGAAACCGCCAAGCTCACGTGCACTGCCACAGGGGCTATGCACATCTCTATGTGAAAGGCCTTTACCGTATACGGACAATGAAACAGCACGTATCCGTCGCTAATCGCTTCGACTGACACGACACAGATCATCATCTCATCTCCTTGTTCTTCTTCACTTAAGATTTCCTTATCGACGCCCAACTCGACCCTTATCGGAGCGCAGGCGCAATCGACGTGGGCAATGAGGTGGTCAGTGTGTGGGAGATCGTATTGCGACATGTGCAGCTGCACGCAACAAAACACGTGCATGTAGATTATACCCAAGGAGGCAATTTCCGGGCTTTCCGAGTTTCTTTTCGCGGCGTAGGCGCTGGGGCCACTTCTCTGTTTGAGCTTTCATTGGGCGGAACTTTGTTATTTGGGAGGATAAGCTGGAACTTTTGGGTTTGGGGGAGATGTGTGGACGGGGGCAGTTGCGTGCGATGACGTGGTGAAGGAAATTGGTGGTTTAGGGTTTAGCGGCCCGATTGACAGCGCGACGTTTCATCTTGTCTTGCCAACACCAATGTTACGATCATCTTTACGATCAACTTGACAATCATTTAAGCGTTTTGGCATGTGATGACCGAGCACGCAAAGGTGCCTAGGTCCGAGGCGTCGTGGTGCTTCGCGCGACTTGATACGATGTTTTCCCATTCTGTTGCAACATCAACGGCACATCTTCATTGAGGGGAATTTGCCAAATCTGGGCGACTCTTCCTAATCGCAAATAAAGGCTCGCAAGTAACGATCATCCTCTAGGCGACAAAGCTTCTGCTCAGGCAAACATGAAACCTAACGATGCGGTTTCATCGACTTCGCCGGCGCATCATGACAGACGAGATAATTATTGCAACAGGCAATTCTTTGCAAAGCTACCCAGATAAAGCAACGACGATGGAAACGACCTTGATTTTGTCCATTCCTGCTTTTGATAGATACACTCCGCGATGAAAAGAATCGTGAAAAGAGATAAGGAATATCGAACACGAAGCAAGAATAGGATGCTGCTGCTACAAAGCTGTGCAGTCACTTTATACTTGCTTTGAAAGCAATGACAGACATTTCTACTTGTGTGCAATCACAGTAAGTGAGCTCTCGCACAATGCCACATTGCGTACCAAAAAGATGTTCTACGCAGCTGGATGAATCATCTAGGCACTAGAGACTATATATAGATGACACAATTGACGAGGTAAGACAGAAGACTTCGTACGACAAATAAGGTTGAAGAGAAGAATCTCACTGCTCTGCTCATACGATCCCTAGTGTAAAAGTACCAATAGAAGGCCAGCATCCCAACCGTCCATCTATCACTACTACCCGCCCCACCATGATCATCAAAAAGTACAAAAGGTGGATTGGTTTCCCAATCCGGGAATTGAACCCGGGTCTTCTGGGTTGTCAACGACCTGAAAGGCCGAGAAGATGAAAGCCAGATATCCTAACCTCTGGACTAATTGGGACTAGCTGTTGCTCGAAATGGAAATTGTGAAAATTAAACATTATATATAGAGCCCATATGTAGCTCAGTTCTCTACAACAAGGCAGAAATGCAACATGAGTCACAAGTCTGTGTGTGGTGTGTAGCGTAAACGCGGAAAGTGGGTCAATGAGTCAATGCACAAGCGAGGTAGGCAAACACGCACACCTGGCGAGCGGTTGCGAGTATGGAAGCTACGATACTCACCGAACATTAGCTTTGTTGATGACCAACAGATAACTGCTTTAGCCAAAATGCATAGCACACCATCACTTTCAAGAGTGCACAAGAAGCAATCGAGCAACAATGCCATTCATTCAAAAGAGTTATGTCATGTCGACAAGACAAAAGTATGAGTACAAGAAGTGAAAATACCAACCCTCGACCAGGGGTCATTTACCATCTATACCACCCGTATACACTTCGTGGCACCTCCAGCAGCAGAAGCTATGCAATTTTCTCGTGCCCTCTTCTAGCGCTTCGCCTAGACCTGAGCTCTAAACACGGAAGGCACGCGGGTGACGGCGGACCTTGGAGCTGGAAGAGCCAGCCTTCTCCTCGAGCCAAGCAATGAAGGTGTCGAGTGTGAACTCCTTGTCAGCAATAGAGCCAGAGGTGGGAGTGGCGGAAGGAGCGCTCGAAACAGCTGCGGGAGCGGACACGGCGGCAGGAGTTGACGAAGCAACAGCATTATTCTCGACCGCGGCAGATGAAGAGGCCGCGGGCGCACTGGTGGCAGTAGGAGTAGACGCAGCAGATGAAGCCGATCCGGAGCCAGACGAAGATCCAGAACCAGAGCTGGCGCCGCTAAAGAGAGCAGGTCCTGGGATCTTGTAGCTAGAGAGATCACCAGAGTAGATGTTGACCTCAATGCCGGCATCAGTTGGAGTGTAGAACTTGTCAGCAGTCTCGCCAGTTGGGTTCTCTGTGCCAGAACCTTCCACGTTGATGTTGATGCACTTGGGGTAGTTCTGGGCGCCGTCGACCTGACCAGCGGAGTGCAGGGCGATAATTTCGTGGCGAAGGACATACTGTCCAGAGGCGATGCTGGATGGAATCGTCACGCTCCAGGTGTTGTTGTTAGCGATGAGCTTAGTCGCAGCCCACTGACCATTGTCGTAGCCGGCTTCGTCGATCTTAAAGAAATTCAAATCAGCCGCCTTGGAAGCAGTAGCATCGTCGACTTTCGCAAGATAGTCAAGGACGGGTCCAACGTGCGAATCGGGCCATGTGGTCCACTGAATGTCGATGGTACCACCGGCCTTGACGGTCGCGACCTTGGCGCCAGCGGTGGCGTCCTTGTGGCAGGCAATCTTGGTGACATCGGTGTACATGGTCGGATCCACGAATCCCTAGAACGGAGTTAAGGCTGTTCTGCTGACGGTCTTCAGCTGCACGTACATTGTCGAGGCATTCTGGGCAGGACCATTCAATGACCTCAGGGGCCGGATTCTGGTATTGGAATGACGGGTCATAGGCAGTGTATGCAGTGCCATCGACGGTGATGGAAGCAAGGTGGCCATGGGCCCTGACGGATGCGGCAAAAGCTCCAACAAGAGCTGCAACCTGAATCTTGGAAGGCATCTTGGTTGGTATGAGCGACTTGAGTCTGAGAAAGGTGGCTTTTGAAGTAAGCTTCGGAATCAACGAAGGTTCAAAGGAAGGTAGACTGCTTCAATCGATGAAGAGTGAGCGAAGTGAAAAGAATGACAAGTGCCGAAGAGACTGAATGAGCGTGTTGAGGTTCTGTGTTCACGAGGCACAGAAGATGCTTTATAGCAGCGTTTGTGGCGCTCGAAACATGCGAAACATGTTGACACCAGGCTAGACGCTGTAAACATGTCACGCCGTTGTGGTGGGTATCTCGAAACGGCACTATTGCCGTCAATGCAAAGCTTGATTGCTCAAGCGAGGCTCCAAATCTCGGGAAGGGCGCCTGCTCAATGCTTGTTTCATTGCTGTGGCTTGAGAACGCTGCATTTCGCGGTTTTCGTCTTGATCGACGCATGCATGTTGAGATTTCGAAACTTCGGCTCGAATGAAAGGAGCTTGTGGGCTGCCGCACCAGAAACGTCTAGGCGGCACTTCTACGATACAGTATCAGCTCGATATCGGCACGCGGTAGCAAGCGAGTATGTGCAGATTATCAGCCTGCATTATTTTGTTGCGAGTGGAAGAGTGACACTTTGGTGGGCAGACGCAGCTGCACGCCAGATCCGAGAACGCTTTGGAATCTGCACAGCACTAAGATCAAGATAGGCTTAGGCGAAGTCCCGCAGAAGAAATCACGACCACGCGTCTTGCATGCCCCTTCCACCGCATGAAAGCGCCTCCATTGAATTGCAGTTGCCATCTCTCGTCATCCCATCTATCTGTTTCACACGATCTGGACCCGATGAGCGGGTCGACGGGCATGTTCTTCCTCCAGTCGGGACGCACCACGACCGTTTCACCATGACCCGCTATCCGGGTCGCATCTACCGCGCGGTTCGCCGGCAACATGATATCTCGCTGCATGGTGGTACACCAACAAAGTAGCGATTCTAGTCTTCACCACAACCATGGAGCTCATATCACATGGTACAATGAACGAGCATTCATGAGCGATCAGGGAAACACGCTTTTGAGATTTGCTAGGTACTTTGAATAATTTCGTGCGTAAACGAGATGGCATACGGATCCAGATGTTTCGACCATGATTCTACCATTCCCGCTGTTTATGCGACTCCCTGCTGCCGTTGTTTCATGGTCCCAGAGACCTGGCTAGAGAATGGGGACACCAGATAGCCGGCAGTGCCGCCAAGCGTTGCCGGAAAGATGTATGATCATACAATCATGACGAATCGACTCAGGAGAAATGCAGACCCTTTTGCAAGAGCCCACGTGCATGCACCAGCTTTGCCATCGCCGTCGTGCTCGCTGCCTCCTCCACCGACTCATCGTCTAGATCGCTGGCGTCGTGTGTAGGACGCCTTCGCTGAAGCATTGGCTGCTCTATGTCTAGAGTTCCCGTCAACTCACGCTGCAGCGATGAGACGTTATTGACATCCCAGTCGCTCCAATCTGTACAATCATCACAGATGTCCACCACCTCAACCTGGTCCTCATTTGAGTCATCCCCATCGAGATCCATCCTCGCGAACATGTCCTCCAGTGCCACCGCCTTGCGCAGCTTGGAAACCTCTGGACCGCCCCGAATCTCTTGGTCTGCCCCAGACGGATGTCTATTCGGACGCGCAGTAGCCTCCTGCATAACCCGATCTCGCCCACCAAGAATTTTCTCGATGCGAGACCAGAACATTTTCAACGCATCATGTACGAGCATATCTAGTTCGTCTTCTGTTGCCTCGCGTCCAAGATACTCCGGCTGCAACAAGATCTCATCAAGATCGCTGCGCATCTGAGAAGCCCAGAACGTGCGGCTGCGAATAGCGGTGCCGGTTGGTGCGAAGATGTGGATGGTCTCTTGGATCCAAGATTTGACAAAAGCTTCGAGGTTCTTGATCAAATGTTGCAGAATGGGTGTGTTGAGGTCGGAGAAAGGATGCGCTGCAGCGGCGCAGCTGGCGCCAGGGCTCGTCATGCATTGACTGAACATCTTCTTGGAGCTCGAGGTGTGCGTAGACCGCCTGCGGACTAGATCTGTTGTGGTTGTGCTTGCGCTCATCATACCAGTGGCGTTATCTGCGACGTTTGGGTGAGTTGAAAGATTCATGAGTTGACACTGACCTTCGCAGCTAACCTACGAAAGGATTTGATCTTGGGTCGAGTCGAGAGACCATGATATACGCCCACGCTCGCACGCTTTCACTTTCACTCCTGAGTACAATATGCGCACACAATGGTTGCCGCTTCATCGCCTGCCTCAACATCGTCCGCGGTGCCACGGCACTGTGCATGGACTGCTGCTTCATCCTGCCAGTACTTCTCCATCTCTACCCTGCCATCACTCCCGGGTGATCGATCGCCCAATCATCACAAACCCAATTCCAACCACAACTCCAGCTGCAGGATTCGGCAGGCATGACGAATCACTGCCCTCGAAAGCTACATTCCTGGCGCACAACCTGGAAATGATTCCAGAATGCTGCATTTGTCAGGAACCCTTCGACGACACTCATGTCGCAACACGTATCCGCGGCACAGAGCAATGCCAACATATCTTCGGCTCAACCTGCTTCAACGCGTGGCTCAGTTCAAATTCCGAAAATTCCAATGCCTGCCCTTTATGTCGCGAAGTCCTCTTCACCAAGCCGCCAACACTACCGCTGCGAGTGCACACCGATGCGCCCTATCGCACGCCAGACCGGCTAGATAGTACGGGGAATTTGGGCCACATTCGTGCATTTGTGCGATGCATGTTGCCTCGTGCACGCGTTGCTCGTGGTCGTACTTTGATCTTTGACTCGGATCTCGAAGAGCTGATTCATTTTGCGCTTGGTAGGTTTGCTGAACAGTATCGACGCAAATACCCATATGGGACGTACATTGCTATGGAGCACATGCCAGCTGTCCGGGATGTGGCGTGGGAGATGATCTTGGCGGTTGCTAAGGATGAGGATGGAGATTTCCTCGTGGATGGGGAGGTGGATGTAATATGGCTGAACAAGATGCTTGACGCGCTGGATTGGGAGCGAGTCTAAGGCTTGGACCTGAAGATCCAGGTGCTCCTGCGAAACAATTTGACGTAGTTACTGTCTGTGTATGTCCATAAGTCAACATTTTGTTTTCAAGTGATGTCAATTTCAGAATTACCGTAGTGCGAAGGTACACAGAGGCTTGTTACTTTTTAATTACATACTAAATCAAGTATCGTGGAGGTCTCTAAGGCTTTGCTATGTTGTGGTCGATATTGCAGACATGTCTGAAGGCATCCAGCTATAGCTCGCTCTCAAGAATGACAACGTCCATCGGCTCCTCCACACTCAACGCCCAACCGACGGCCTGCTGCATCTTCGGCATCCACTTCTTCCTCAGATCCTC